TTGTTGTTGTTGTTTTGTTGTAGAGACAGGGTCTCGATATGTTTCCTAGGTTGGTCTCAAACTCCTGGCCTCAAACTATCCTGCTGCCACAGCCTCCCAAAGTCCTGAGATTGATTACAGGCATGAGTACATACCTACCTGGCAATATTATCTGTCTTAATTGTGGAGCTGGTCACATATTGTGTACCTTTGTCAAGATGCATGCCATTCTGTACACCTCAGAAGTTTGAGTTCTACATTTCAGAAGAAATGATAGCGTATGTCCATACAGAGACCCACACAGAGGGGTCTGGCAGCTTTATTTGTAATGGCCCAAAACTGGGTGAATGGACAAACTTCAGCACATCCACACAGAGTAACACCACTCAGCAAGGACAGAGATGAATCACAGCCATGCACAAAGCATATGGATCAATCTTAGAACATATAACTACGCTGAGTGGGAAAGGCCAGACAAAAAGGAGCACATAGGGTCTGGTTTCATTTCTAGGAAACTCCATACAATGTAAGCCTTTGTATAGTGACAGACAGTAGGTCAAAGACAAAGGGAGTAAAAAAAAAAAACAAAGACAAAGCGGGTGGGGTGCCAGGGGTTAGGAGGGTAGAGAGCTCACTTCTGGGGATGGTGATCTTGATGTTCCTGTTCCTTAGTTATTTATTTTAAGAGATGGGGTCTTGCTGTGTTGTCCAGGCTGGAGTGCAGTGACATGACTGTAGCCCATTGTAACCTTGATCTCTTAGACTCAAGTGCTCTTCCCACTTCAGCCTTCCAAACACCTAGGATTACACGTGCATGTAACTGCACCCAGCATGTTTATTGTTTTGATTTAATGATGGTTTCATAGATACACATATGTGGCAAAATTTATTATATTCCATACTTTATCCTCATTATTTATAAATATTTATAAATTTGGCCAAGTGAGGTGACTCACACCTGTAATCCTAGCATTCTGGGAGCCCAAGGTGGGTGGATTGCTTGAGCTCACGAGTTTGGGACCAGCCTGAGCCAAAAGCAAAATCCCATCTCTACTAAAAATAGAAAAACTGAGGCAAAAGGATTGCTTGAACCCAAGAGTTAGAGATTGCTGTGAGCTATGACATCACAACACTCTACCTAGGGGTGACAGCTTGAGACTCTGTCTCCAAAAAAATTACAAATGTATATTTATAAAGTTATTTATAAATAACTTTATAGTATTCCATGGTACATATGATTGTACCATAACTTCTTTTTTTTTTTTTTTTTTGAGACAGAGCCTCAAGCTGTCCCCCTGGGTAGAGTGCCGTGGCCTCACAGCTCACAGCAACCTCCAACTCCTGGGCTCAAGCAATTCTCCTGCCTCCACCTCCCAAGTAGCTGGGACTATAGGCGCTACAATGCCCAGCTATTTTTTGGTTGCAGCCGTCATTGTTGTTTGGCAGGCCTGGGCTGGATTCGAACCCGCCAGCTCAGGTGTATATGACTGGCGCCCTAGCGGCTTGAGCCACAGGTGCTGAGCCATAACTTCTTTTTTTTTAATAAAAAAATTGCAATTACTTAGAAGCATTCAGAATGTCAACAAAACAGCTGCAACTTTTTTTGGCATTTATAGAGTGGTACTCATTTAACAGAACAATAATTATTTCATATAAGCTGCATCAGAGACAACTGAAGATGAAAAAACTATCATCCCCATGTAGGACTAATTTGTGCTGTGCACCAGCAAGAACCTGCTTTAAATTTCCATGCCAATTTACAACCCCCATATTGTCCCAGGCAAGGTTAGTGGCTGTTGAAAATACCACCAGGACAGGGCTAATCTAAAGACACATTCAGTAGTGTGTTAACTATACAAAGAAAGACACTGTACAGTTTAAAAACAAATCTTACACAGCCTTACATTTCAATTTTTTTCTTTAGAAGGAGTTGTGTACAGGGGGGATTAAATGCTTTATAGACAAGAGAAAAAAACTGCGCTAGAACCAACTTATTCATCATCATCTTCTTCTTCTTCATCTTCCTCCTCTTCCTTCTTTTTCTTGCTTTTTTCAGCCTTGACGACTCCCTTTTTCTCTGCATCAGGCTTTCCTGTAGCTCGGTATGCAGCAATATCCTTTTCGTATTTTTCCCTCAGCTTTGCAGCCTTCTCTTCATAAGGCTGCTTGTCACCCGCAGCAGTGTCATTCCACATCTCTCCCAGCTTCTTCGCAACCTCACCAATGGATAGGCCGGGATGTTTTCCTTTGATTTTTGGGCGATACTCAGAACAGAATGAGAAAAAGGCCGAAGGAGGCCTCTTGGGTGCACTGGGATCCTTGAACTTCTTTTTTGTTTCCCCTTTAGGAGGGATATAGGTTTTCATTTCTCTTTCATAACAGGCCTTGTCCGCCTTTGCCATATCTTCAAATTTTCCTTTCTCTTTAGCAGACATGGTCTTCCACCTCTCTGAGCACTTCTTAGAAAACTCTGAGAAGTTGACTGAAGCATCTGGGTGCTTCTTGTGCTCCTCCCGACAATTGTACAAAGAATGCACATGATGACATTTTGCCTCTCGGCTTCACAGGATCTCCTTTGCCCATGTTTAGTTATTTTTCCTCAGCACAGAGTCACCCAGTCCCCAGCCGGCTCTTACCTGCCCCGGCGCTCTGTACCATAATTTTTTTAACCACTTCACCATTGGCATTTTATTTGTCTGCAGTGCTTTACCATCATAAACGATGCCACACCAAACATTGTTGCTCATGTCTTTCCTCACTTGTGTGATGTTTTTCTAGTGTACAGTGAAATTGCTGCATCAGAGGGTACACGCATTTTTCATTTTTATGGAAACCACCAAATGTCCTCAAGAAACTCTGTGGCAATGAACCCTTTCCCAAGCCTGGGGACAGGCTTGTTCCTTTCACCCCAGACAACAGGAAGTGTCAGCAAGCTTTCCTCTCTGACTCAAGTCTTGATTACCCATCAGACTATCTGTACCACAATAAGACATGGTAAAAGATCTTATCTGAGTCTAGGGGAAGAAGGAAAAATGAGATCAAAAAACAATCTTTCATGTTTTTAGAAATCATTAACCAAGGCCAGGTGCAGTGGCTCATGCCTGTAATCCTAGCACTCTGAAGAGGCTGAAGCAAGTGAATTACTTGAGATTAGGAGTTCAAGATCAACCTAAGCAAGAGTGAGACACCGTCTCTAAAAATAGTTGGATGTTGTGGTGGGTGTCTGTAGTTCCAGCTACTTGGGAGGCTGAAGCAAAAGGATCCCTTGAGCTGAAGACTTTGAGGTTGCTGTGAGCTGTGATACCAAGGCACTCTACCCAGGGTTATAGAATGAGACCCTATCTCAAAAAACAACAATAATAAACCTTCCAGAAAATTCTTTAGCAGTGCCTCAAAACCTTCTTCTCCTGTGACACTCATTCAGGAAACCCCAGAAGACGGCTGGGGAATGCATCCTTAGAAAAGTCAGGAGAGGAGAAACCACCCCAAATGGCCCATATTAGAGCTGCCAAAACTGATAACAGGGGCAGAATGAGACTTCAGCAAAGGAACAAGGCATGACCTTCTGAGTCTAGAGGGAGGACATCAGGTTCCTTACTCCAGAGCACATGAGATGCCTTTCCAGCCCAGTCACACACACCCACACACACAAAGTCAGTCTGTTCAATGGCCCCAACACTGGAAAAAGTGTCCCCTCTCAAACTGACAAAGAAGATTAGAGCTTGCACAGGACTTAGAATTCTGCTAAAAATAGGTTTCAATTCCAGTTTTACGGCTGATCTCACTGAGGAACACGAGACAGGTCACATAAGATTGACCTCGGTTTTCTCAATTGCAAAATGGAGATGACATTTCTGAACTCATATGGTTGGTCCACCATGAGAAACAGTCAGGAGAGTGCTGTGCTGAAGACTCAGGCTAGGGACCTGGAGTCAGGAAGACCTGACTCAGAACTCCAGCTCTGACGCTCTGATGCTTAGTAACTCAGGGATCTCAGGCAAATCTGCTTTCCCCCTCGAGATTAACACATTGACCCTTCATGGGGATTTTGAGATGATTTATAAAGATAATGTATAAAGTATCTAACACAGAGTCAGGCTGTGTTATTATGTTTTTATGGGGGGAGGGCTTTCGTTTTGTTTGAGACAGAGTCTCACTATGTTGCCGTTGGTAGAGTGTCATGGCATCACAGCTCACAGCAACCTCAAATTTGGGGGCTCGAGCGATTCTCTTGCCTCAGCCTCCCAAATAGCTGGGACTACAGGTGCCAGCCACAACGCCAGGCTATTTTTTTGGTTGCAGTTGTCATTGTTGTTTAGCAGTCCCAGGCTGGGCTGGAATCAGCCAGCCTCGATGTACGTGGCTGGCACCCCAACTTACTGAGCCATAGGCACTGAGCCTATATTTTTATTTTTTAAATGACTCTGTATATGGGCCAGACATGGTGACTCATGCCTGTAATCCCAGCAATCTAGGAGGCCAAGGTGGGCAGATTGCTTGAGCTCAGGAGCTCGAGACCAGCCTAAACAAGAGTGAGACCCCCATCTCTAAAAAATAGCCACATTGTGGTGGGCACCTGTAGTCCCAGCTACTCAGGAGGCAAGAGAATCACTTGAGCCCAAGAGTTTGAGGTTGCTGTGAACAATGACACCAGGGCACTCTACCCCAGGGTGACTGAGTGAGATTCAGTCTCAAAAAAACCCTCTAAAATGGAAATTATTGCTTTTTATTATAGAAACCTGTTAACGTCTATCAATTTGAGAACAAATTCCAATTGCCTGATATGCAGAAAAGAAATGGATATTCCCTCAATATTCTAAATTCTGTTGTCATTAAAAGGTAATTATTGGCTGGGTAGTGGGGATGGAGGTTCAAGATACCTTACAAAGATGTAAATAAAACCCTGGACTAAGGCCTCGTTAGCATGTATAAATGGCTCTAGTTGAGGTCCCTACCCTCTCTACCCACATAACTGTGCAGCCCAAATGTACCACCCCAGCAGATGTGGCCGGTTCCCATACCAGGTAAACTGGGCTTCGGTTCTTGTCCATAGCAGGGATGCCAGTGAGGACCTCGGCTAACACCTGGAAAAAAGAGAAGATGGAGTTCCCTCAGTTCAGACTTTCATGCAAAAGGTCAGGCAGGAGATTCTGGCCAAGAGAGAAGCTGCTTCTCATTTATAAAGTCTGAGCTCTAGGCCTGGCTCTGCCATTTGCCAACAAAGACACTTGCCCAGAATCCCGGACATGGGACAATCGCTAAACCCTTCCTCCAATTAAAGAGGCCATCCAGCTTCTAGTGAAACTGATAGCAAGGCAAGGAAGATGGAATTCAAAAATATGTGTGTATATATTATCACCCTAAGATTGTTACACACACACACACAAACACACGTAAGTATATATACACTCAGTATTTTTAAAAGATTATTCCACTTAAAAATACATCAGGAATGGCAAGCAGGCAATGTTCTGTTAATCTCAGGGAAAGAAGGAATCCACCTGTCGGTAGGTATCTATTTTATATAGAAAGTCTCAGAAACATCTGTAGCATATTTCATCCACAGGACTTTATTAATATTATTTATTCATGCATGCAGTGATTTTCAACTGGTGTGCTGTGAGGGGATCTTAGATGTGCTGCAAAAATTTTTTTAAATCATTAATTAAATTATTTTAGAAGGAAGGTCAAAGCACAGTAAATATCCTCTTTCTTTTACTCTTATTTATTTATTTATTTGTTTTTTGGAGACACCCTTGGTAGAGTGCCGTGGCGTCATAGCTCACAGCAACCTCAAACTCTTGGGCTCAAGCAATTCTCTTGCCTCAGCCTCCCCAGTAGCTGGCACTACAGGCGCCCACCACCCACACTCAGCTATTTTTAGAGACAAGGTCTCATTCTGGCTCAGGCTGGTCTCAAACCTGTGAGCTCTGACAATCCGCCCGTCTTGGCCTCCCAAGTGCTGGGATTACAGGCTTGAGCCACCACGCCTGGCCCTTATTCTTTTTTTTTCTTTTTTCTGGTCAGCATAATTTAAGTATGCCATGGAAGTTTAACTATAGGTTCAAGAGTACCATGAGATAAAAAAGAAAAGGTTGAAAAACACTGCATTCATGCAACCACTCACAAAAGAAGCACATAGCTCTGTACCCTGAAAGCCACCACAAAATTGACAAACCTGCTGTGAACAGGAATTCTCAGCAGAGATACACAGCGTGGGGGTTGAAGGCTTTATAGTCAGATAGACCTGGATTCAAAAATCGGACTTTCCTCCTTAAATACTCAGGTGATCTTTGGGCAAGTAACTAAAATCTGAACCTCAGTGTCCTCATCTGTTAAATAGGCAGCTAGCAACTGTGAATATTTAAGGAGTGACTAACCCACCCTTAGTGTCAAATCCCTCTCCACAGCCTCTCTTGGAGCAAGTCAGATGAGGGTAACATTTACTGCCAAGAATCCCTCCAAGCATGGAGGAAGCAAAGGATAGGGCTTTGAGAGGACTCAAGCCTCCAGGGCTAATAACAGACTGGCAGTGGCCAAAAGGGGGCAGCAGAGGGCACTCCTGCCTTAAGTGGGACAGGTGCCAATTGAGAAGGGACGCCTGCCCCTGCCAGGAAGGGAGAGGACAGGGCAGATAACAAACATATCCTCTGGGCTCAGCAGCCCTTAGCACAGTGGTTACAGCACCGCCCACATGCACCAAGGCTGTCAGTTGGAATCAGACCTGGGCCAGCTAAACAAGAATGACAACTGCAAAAAAAAAAAAAAGTAGGCAGGCGTTGTGGCCAGAGCCTGTAATCCCAGCTATCTGGGAGGCTGAGGCAAGAGAAACGTTTGTATGAGCTGTGACACCACAGCCCTCTACCAAGGGTGATATAGTGAAACTCTGTCTCAAAAAAAAAAAAAAAAAAAAAAAAATTCAAAAAAAAAAAAAAAAAAAAAAAAAAAGTCCTCTGCCTCTTCCACATGACCGGCTCTGTGCCAGGCCCCTCAAAAGTCATTTAGAGCTCCCCATAGATGGAAGCGAAGTTCAGAATCATTAATCAGTGGCAGGGCTGAGAAAATGGGTGGGGGAGCCAGTCGGTACTCAATGAATGAGGAAGTCAACTGTGACACCAAGAGCTGAGTTAGAAGGTCAAGAGTAAACAGAGATCTGGAGTGAAGGCATGAAGCAGGAATGACAATAGCCACAATAATAATAAAGTTCTTGGTATGTGCAGGGTACTGTGCTAGCCAGTTTATATATATTATCCCATTAACCTCCACATATATCATCACCTTCATCTTACAGAAGATACAATCAAGGCCCAGAGATAGAGAGCTGTGTGCCGTAGATCAGACAGCTGAATGTCACAGCTGGGGACAGGCTAGTGGCCTAGGAGGTCAGTCTGCTGGTTCTTAGGGCAGCAGGAGCTGGGGCTCACCCCACTGACCTTTACTAAGCAATTCAAAGTAAGGCTGAGGGAGGCCAGGAGAGTTGGACAGGCTGGGAGATCCAGGGGAGCAGAATCTGGCATTTGGACAGAGGGAAGTAAATAGCTCTGGACCAAGGCTCTAGTGGCAGAGGGGGACAGACAGGAGATTATAGTCAGAGAGAAGATGTGCAGAGTTCCAGGCCAGAGAGAGAGAGGGCAAGAACTGAGCTGCAGGTGTTAGCACTTGGCTGAGTTCAACAAGACTGTCCCTTTTCTCAGCCAGCATTTTCCGTGTTGAGTTCCTTGGAACACTGATCAGAATAGATAACAAGCGCTCATAGTGAATGACTTTGGAAAACACTGCATGCCCCTCTCTGGAGAATTCACAGTTGCCAGATTAAAGGTTCACTACCATATTAAAAGGTCAAATTAACCTTGTGGTAAAGAAGCCTGCTCAACTGCTCCACCCAGTATTTCCCAAACCTACTTGGCCAGTGATTCCTTTTAACACGTCAGTTCCACAGGGACCCAAAGGGACTGGTCGTCTACAGAAATACACTTGGGAGACTGTTACACTCAGACTACCAGCTCCGGGGGGTGGCACTGTGGTTTAGTTACATTCACATTCCAAGAGCCTCCCACAGAGTAATGACAGGCAGGGATAGGATGGGGGGACAGATGCTGAATGGACAGGGGATGAACAAGCCAGGACAGACAACCAGATGGACAACTGGAAGGCTGGAGGGGATTCAGGAAGTCAGGAGGTGGTATTTGTAGCCTACTAGAATCTGAGTGGCTTTACTTCAAGGATAGGCAAACACTTTCTATAATAGTTCAGGCGACATAGTAAATATTTTAGTCTTTGTGGGCCATATTTAGTCTCTTTCACATATTCTTTTGTTTTTCTTTTTCTTTGTTTTTGTTTTATTCTTTTGTTTTTTTAAGTACTATCCTTTATAAATATAAAAACTATTCTTAGCTCACAGGCAACACAAAATAGGCAGTGGGTAGCTGGGCATTGTGGCGGGTGCCTGTAGTCCCAGCTAGTTGGGAGGCTGAGGCAAGAGAATCACTTGAGCCCAAGAGTTTGAGGTTGCTGTGAGCTATGATGCCACAGCACTCTACCCAAGGCTACAGCTTGAGACTCTGTCTCAAAAAAAAGGCTTGGGACCTATAGCTCAGTAAGCAGGGTGCCGGCCACATACACTGAGCCTGCTAAACAACGACAACTGTGACAAAAAAAAGTAGCCGGGCATTGTGTTGGGCACCTGTAGTCCCAGTTACTTGGGAGGCAGAGGCAGGAGAATTGCTTAAGCCCAAGAGGTTGCTGCAAGCCATGACACCACAGCACTCTACCAAGGATGACATAGTGAGACTCTTGTCTCAAAAAAAAATAGTAGGCAGTGGGCCCTGTCTGGCCCGTGGGCCACAGCGTGCTGGGCTTGCTGCACTTCAACGGAATATATATATGTGCTTCTACTATAACCTATGCTTACAAAGAGCCGCAGGAAGGACATGGGGGTACATGCCCAAGTCAACGCAGGAAGCTCTTACTATGCCATAGCTGAAGATGTCCACCCGCTTTGTCAGCTGCCCCACCCTGATGAAATCTTCTGGAAGATATGCAGCTGATGCCTGGAAAGGGTGGGTCTTCGTCAGGGTGTATTTTGACTTTTTGTTGACAGGACACAGGTGAGCCATTGGGTGAGCCAGCTTGGGAACAAAACTGTGGTCCAACAAGACATTGGAGCTGTGGAAAAGAAAGCAGAGATAAGCTTCTCATCTTCAGCTGGATAACAAGAGATTGCCATGAAGACCCTTTGGGGAAACAACTTAGCAGTGAGCAATTTAGCCCCTACAGGCTGGGGTCCCTGAAAATCCTTCACATGGAGTCTCAGAGCCAGCCCCAACAGGGAAAGGAGGGCCCACTCCCTCTAGTAGATGGGGATGGAGTTAAGATTCAGACTCCTGCCCCCAGAAGGTAGACAAAGAGGTACAGCCTCCCTGAGTCCCACAGATGTCAACCCCATCAGCCTCAGTTCACCAAGCCCATAGGTTATCCTGGCCTGGCTGACGAGCCTAAATGCCAGCACTCTTTGTGGCCTAGATTGTGGGGAATGAGAAAAGCAATAAACATATCCTTTGACCCAGTCATCTCACTCATGAGAGTGAACTCTAAGAAAGTAGCTCAAGTGGCTAAG